ACCAGGACTAAACGGCCTTCCAGTACTTCCAGGTTTCTAATGGTGATCTATCATCGATCGATTCATGATTTCAAATGCGTACAAGTATAACTGCTTGACAAATGGATACATTTGTCGATCAAGGTATTGAATATAGATATCGAGCTTTTTTTTTATAAGCCTTTGGGCTTGTTGATAATCATGTATAATATGATATGGCCTTAGTTAGATGATTACTAATTTTAAAAGTATAAGTAATAAATGAGAATTACATTGTTCAATGTCTTATTGAAATTCAAGATTTAGTCAAGCATTGATTTTGACAGTTACTTAGATGAAAAATTTCTCAATCTAATCAGTAACATAAACATCATCTATCGTTCAATTTAACGTTCAAAGGATTATTGTGCAAAGAGTGAACATCGTATTTCATCGAATTTATAAAACAGTATTTTTTGTTTTGTTTCAGCGAACTGTTGGGAGCTCTTGAAAATTTCTCAAAGAAGCCTTTAGATGTTGGAAAAGGATGAAACCGTATTGTCCAGTAATCGCTTAATGCAAACCTCCAGTAAATTTCGCGATAAACTGGAAACGTATCACATAGATTGGGTAATTATCTAATCAAGGTCAACGATGAGTCAATTAATACCTTTGTTTTCTGTTCATATGCAAACCTTAGGAATAAAAATTCCGGTTGAAACTTTCAGTTTTCGTTTTTCGATTCTGACCTCAAGTTGAGAGGATTCTAAGAAATATATATTGAGGGTTATGATTTGAGAGTGGGGTTTATACTACTTGCAAAGTGACTTATAGGTAGTGTGCAAAGGAGTGTCGCCTAGTAGTTACCACCGTCTAGTAAACTGTCCTATCTTGATGTTTAGTACGATCAAAGTGTCTCTAAAACTTCAAGGTATGTGAAAGAAGACAGTCGAGAATCTGCTTGTATTGCGAATGAAGTGTGAAAACAAGATGTACATAATTTTCTAATAAACTATCTTCTTATTTAATAAACCCACTTGTCCTGTCTGGTCTTAATATTTTCGTTCATTTCAATTAGCATGAATTCAATACTAGGACTAGACGGTGGTCCAGTGCTTCTAGATTTTTATTGGTAGTCAACATTGACCTATTCGTGAATTTTATGAAATTCATCAATCACTACAACCTTATTATAACACTTAGAGAAACAGTTTAAACTACAGGAAGTGCTCAACTTATAACCACTGGTTTCTTACATCCGTTATTTCCCGTGACACCTGTCTCACACCTGACAAGAATGAAATCCTTACGTTATGGTTTCTTATTAGAATTCGGAAAATTTTTTTTACAAACTAACTACTACCGAGTACATGATTATTAGTGCTGTAAACTGTTAGTTTGTTGATTTGTAACTAACAAAACAGGGCGGCTTTAGTTAGAAACCTATCAGGACGAGAAAGTACCAATGCTCTGTTTGAATGGTTATCAATCTAAAGTTCTTTCGTAATATAAATCACAAATGGATTAATTTTCAGTAACCTATTAAATCAAGAATCACAATGTCGTAGTAATGGGACTTCTCAACCTTATGCACACACAACCACAGCAAGAGACTAAACTAAAAACTTTTCTTAAGATATTGTAAATTATTCAAAAGATTTAGATCCAATTCGTTGATTGACATAGTTGATGTAGGCCAACTGAGTACTAATTGTGCTAAATCGATCAAACGGGGAATTGAGAAAGTTTAGTCAATAGATTCTAACTTCGCTACTATACTTGACTTGAATAAGACTTGAAGGTTAAATATTCAATATCTTACAAGACTTGTGGTGAGAAATCTCAAATTACGGAAAAGAGAAATTTTGTATGTTCCTTGGTTTTCACAAGTAGGATAAGTGATATCTTCCAATAATAATAATAATAATAATAATAATAATAATAATAATAATAATAATAATAATAATAATAGTAAATTTTAGGACATAAATGATTTTAAAGTTTCTGTTCAGAGTGTATTGAACGAAAATACTGTTTTGTTTGTTATGCGATAATTTAAAAATACATCTTTCACTTGGTTATGTACCTTATAAGACAGGGAATAAATTTCGCTTATCTAAAAATTGGCTTTTTTCATGTAAACTAAGCCTATTCAAACTGTAATATAACTGAACGCACACATAAATATACATATTTCGTGATAATAAATACTGTGCAAAAAAAAGTATTATTCCAGGGAGAAATATTTTGTTCAATTTTCAATAAATAAACAAAGCTACATGTTTAAACTGAATATATATATATAACATAAACTAAACACAAACTCAATTTTTAAATAACTTTACAAATAAATCAAAAAGAATAAAATATAATAATAATAATAATACACAATTCGTTGAAATATCATGTTTAAACGTTATAAATTATGCTCTAATTTTATTACTTGTCCTAAATAATTATCTTTCTTTTTCTAAGAAAATAAAACGAAATACTAAAAATAACTAACTTAACACACTATTTCAAATTCAATGTATGCGCAAGAAATTAGATGTTAGTTTATTGAAACAAGTCATCCCGATTTTTTTGATAGGTTATATTTAAAAATCAATGAACTCTATTTGAAGTAGTTTTTTTAAGATGACTAGATGCAAAACTTGCAAGTTCACTTGTCTGATATGATGTAATGTTTATTTATGATGTAACTGACCTAATGAGAAATTATTACAGTTGAAAAAAGTTATATTTTGAACAGACTGAATTATGGGTTACAATAAGTTGCCTAGATTTCTTTATCTCATGCCTAGTTCTGTGATGTTATTGATTCGTTTCAGACAGTAAAAGGAGAATGAAAGAAATGAATTAGTTAAACATTTCTGTTTTATTAATTATATTTTAAGTATCAAAGAATTTGGGAATTTAGTTGGATCATTTACAGTTCGTTTAATTAATGCAATCTATGTTGTTTGTTAGTAGTATAAACTCTCCTTTTTTTGTCCAGGTTGCTTATAGTCAGAATCTTATTATTTGCAAGCTTATGTAAAACAGTTTAATGTTGTTTAATAAGTAGAGATTTCATTGCATATTTACACTTTTTGTATTGTATGATGGGGTTGTGAAGAGTGTTAATTTACACATTTGAAATAATGAATCGATCAAAGTTAGATCACCATTGGAAAAACCTGGAAGCACTGGAAGGCCGTTTCGTCCTGGTATGGGACTCATCAGCAGTACGGATTCAGGACTCCTGCACCCCGCAGTGTTTGAACCCAAGACCTTCGGTCTTGCGCGTGAACGCCCAACCTCTAGACCACTGAGCCGGTATCCGATGGTGTTAATGTCTAACTTCGATCAATTCACAGAGTTGCGCAACCTGATACACTGTCTTCGGTAGTTACTGTCTACACCCGAACTTTGATCGATTAATGATTTCAAATGTGTCACTTAACAATCTTCATAACCCCTTAATGCGATTACCTGTGCTCACTGGTCACTATCTCCATGAGGAATCTTCTCTGAGTTCTAGTGAGAAGTCGTAACCATTGAAGTTCAACCTGTTCGGGTGTAGACAGTAACTTTTTGTAATGTTTGAAGCTATCAGCCAACTTGAACAAAAATCCAATATGAGAATAAATTATTAGAATGCATCTTTGTATCTTGCGAGGTGCAGGAGTTGTGGAAGTGCACTGCTGATCAGTCCCAGTGCTAATGGTGTTTCAACATTGATCGATTCATGATTTCAAATGTGTAACATAGTAATCTTTACAACCCCGTAATGCAATTAATTTAATGTCTATAGTGGCAAAAATATATGATAAAGTTTCCATAACCGATTTTCAGGTTTACTTTTCGCTACTATTTTGAAACGGTCTATAAACTTTGATTTTATTTCCACTGACATTAGTGAAGATAAATTTGAAATCATAGAAACTACTGGCCAGTTTACTTGAAGAATTGAGACCTAATGAGATAATTACTTCTACCATCCCTGAAACAAACTGATCGTCCAATGAATAGATGACCCAAGGTTTTTCTGGTTAGCATTTTATAGCGAGTTTGTTGTTTTGGTGGGATGAGGTCTCCAACCCCATGCCAAACCCTCATCTTTTATCCGGGCTTGGGACTGGCAGTAGCCCCGAACGGTCTATAGGCGGACTCGAGGTAAGCACTGAATTTTCGCAGATACTAAAACTATTTAATACAGAGAAATCTTATGTATTCTGTGTTTTCAAGTAGTTAACAAGAAAGTTCATTCTTCAGTTTCATGCTGATTGGCATTTATCAAGAATGGAATTCGAAAAAAGGTCACCTAGCTTCACATTCTGAAACGTTATCATTTAACTGTTTCGATTACCAAAGACCTCCCATAAAATTGAGATCATGTATTGACATAGCAAATCGTATATGGTCTCTTATCCAAATGAAATCTCAATAATTAGATTTATCATAATGAGATTACAAAACTAAAATTTTAACTGAATATCTAAGATGAATCTAGGAATATTTTTCTTACAGTACAAACATACTCTACTTGAATTGAACGATAAATTTCTCAATTATCTACGGTTCTATGTGTGTACTTAAAACATTCCTGGTTTTTGTGTAATTTCAAAATGTTGTTTTTAAACATAAAGATATTACGTAACTTTTTTCTTAATACAATTATATATTCATGATTCCATTGACTAACTGATGTAGCTTGATGGAAAAAAAAATTAAAATGTTAAACCGATAGAAAAATGAGAAATAACTATACACATGAAATATAGATCAATAATTCTGTTTCAATACATAGATTTCTAAAGGTTTTACATTATTTTGACTAAGATAATATTTTATCGAAAATTAAGTTGAATAACATTCAACTACGAAGTTAAAAGTATCTTGACAATATGCATGCACTCTATGAATATTATAAGAATGAAATGTGTTGACCAACATATTATGGACAGATTGACTTCTATGCTTTGGCTTCATTCAACTCATGAAGATACATATTTTTCTGCCTTATGGGGTGTTTGCCAGATAGCCAAGAGTTAAAAAATTCAACCAGCTTTTCCGTAAATACTCACTGATGACATGGCATAACTATTAGTATGTTGTTTCTGTCTCTCACTTTCTTGGCCCAATTTCTCTTCAAGAAATTGCACTGAATAACAATGACTAACCATTCCTCTCCATGCTGAAAGGAGGATATTACAGTACTTGAATGGGCAGTCATGTTCATTGTTATTGTTTGGTTCGTTTAATTGTTCGTTTGCTTTGGTGTCTGAAAGTGCATCGGTCGTTTGAGGCATTGGGTTTTGTATGTATGTATTGGAAGTGACACGTTTATAAGTATCTTTGTTGTCATTATTTCGTCTAAGAGATTTCGAAACATTCAATGAGCGAATATTTGTATTCATCCAAATTTATGACTAGTGTTTGGCTTGAGGTGTGATAGTTTATGTAAGATCTGTTTATGTTTTTCTGTTTGGTTTCAAACATTCTATTTTAGCTTTCATTGATATGTTTTTACTTTTAGTCTCTTTTTCTATTTATCATCAGTCCTCATTTATTGTGTCTTTCAAGAAAAACCGACTCAAGAAAGGTCTGGATGAGGTATTTGTACATAGTTGATGCTATAACCATCTCTGTGCTGATGAGGTATGGCAACCTGAACTGATGTACTTACGTACTAAGTTCTGTGTTGTATCTGTCTCATGCTATAGCAATTCTTCATTTTAAACTTGACCCATGTATACAGAAAAGCCGTGTTTAATTTCTGACTCTTCCAAAGGTTTTAAAACCTTTTTTGGATATTTTACAAATTATGAGTGCTAATTGTCACAGTCGTCTTTCACTCTTTTTACAAAGTAAATAATTATCTTAAATTTTTATTCTATAGATTTTTCATCGATTATTGCTTCTAAAACTATTACGTAACATGAGCTCTTCACTTTTTTTGAATACATTGTCAAATAATGTAACCTCATTTTATTCAGTACTTACAAAAATTAATTACGTTGAAATATTATACCTACATTATTATTACTATAATGATGAGAACTTGAATAAAAACTGAATATTATATCATTCATTGTACAATTTATTATCTACATATTACATACATAACTCTAGAAAATATCACGTAATTTCATTGTGTGTTTTGAATAAATTGCCTTCTAATAGTTAAAACTATTTCAGTCACGGTGAAGTTAAAATTAAACAAACATATTATTTAATTGTGTTCATTTCTAATTTTATCTTATTTTTTTCAAAATGAATTTTAAAATTACCGCAGTAAAATGTGCTCACTATTAACTAGCTTCGTGAAAACCCTGTCGGATGTAGGCAGTAACTAACGAAGACATTGGGTGGTCCTTAGATTGATCACATTTAGGCATTAACACTGCTCGATGCTGGCTAAGTGGTAAGGAGGGTAAGTGTTCGCGCGCGAGATCAGTCCCGGTTTTGAATCCTGTGAGTAGTAGGAGTCGTGGATGTGCACTGCTGATGAGTCCCATACCAGGACGAAACGGCCGTCTGGTGCTTCCAGGTTTCTAATGGTGGTCTAACAATGATTGATTGTTCCACAATAAATATTGCAAATAACTCCCACTAGCTACTTATCATCTTAAAACAACTTTGGAAAACTCAGCCGCATTAAACAGTTACATGGTGTAAACTATCAATTCATCAACCGTCAATAAGGCCCTATTGTTTGTCATGTACTCAATAGCTGTTGATTTCAAGAAATAACAGTTAAAGCTATGATAGGATGTCAAAGTAAATGGACTATAACCTATACGATATGAAACAAAAATTACATAGGTCAAAAGTAAATGGTTGCTCGATATTACCAATTGATTAACATTAACTTTTAAAAAAATGCTAAATAACTAATCAGTGTTATAAAAAGAATTTGAATTTGTTTTGATTTCTTCAAACAACATGATATCCTAATGAGTTTCTCATATAAGTTAACTTTATTCTTAAATGAATTTCAATCTCTGTGATCGTTTGAAATTCACTATCAATATCAGCAAACTCTATTATTACACTTTTTGAAAATTCTTATTACATAATGGTTATTTTACAGTGATCATGTATGTTTGACGTCAATGAGTGAAGTTTGACTGAAAGATATGAATTATCTCAACGACAAAAACATTATTGATAACAATCTATGCAATAAAATATTCAGACAGTTACATGAAGTTAGTTATTCAAAATAGGCTACAAAAAATTTACTACAGTCAAACCAAAATAAAGGAAATTACGCTTCTCATGTCAACATAATAGATAAAACTTTTTTTAGTGTCGAAGAACTCTATATTATCAATATTTTCAGATTAATTCTTCAGTCAAAAGAAAACAACAGGTTAATCATTTGACTAAAACAAACCATAAAAGACTATTCATCTTTTCTCAAATCCTGCAACTCTATTATTTTTATTTTACCTACTAGAAATATTCAATGAATTATTGTTAGCCCACCATTTGAAACTTGGAAGCACTGGAAGGCCGTTTCGTCCTAGTATGGGACTCATCAGCAGAGCGCATCCACCACTCCTGCACCTCGCAGGATTCGAACCCAGGTTTCTAATGGTGGTCTTACAATGATTGATTGATGATTCCATGTATTTAGTTGGAAAAAAAGTTTATATAATGAATTGAAAAACTCTAATTCCATTCTTAAGCAATGTATGATTCTCTGACATTAATATATAATTGAATAATTGACAAATAAACAGATACTATTTTTCTTTAATTTATGCTTCATTTCAATTATCATTTTTCAATTATTTGTACTGTGAAAATCACAGTTCATTCTAGTTAGCCAAAAAGAAGATGTTTGTAATATTAATAATTAAAATTGGAAAACTAGTCAAGAACCCAATCTAATGAAAAGAACCCAATGCAACATATTACGCAACCTTTCTGTCTGCTTTACTTCCGACTTTGAAAATAAAACCACATAGGTAGACATCGAATGTACATATATATATGTATATATTCATAAATATATGTACATATACAAGTACGCTTGTGTGTATCTACATGGGAATGCATGTAAAATTACTTTTTTTTTTCTAAGTAAACTGTCAATAACAGTTCAGTTTTGCCTGCCTACTAGCGTTTTTTTTTTTTTGTTCTGAAAAAAATGAAGGAAGGCAATTTTCAGCCTCGCCAATGTTTCATTCTTCGTCTTTTACCTGATCAATAATGTCAGTATGTCATATCAAGACAATAAGGCAGGAATGATCAAGCATTAAAAATAACTGAATAAATTTATCATTGTTATTTTTTCTTGAAAACAGACAAAAAAAACTTGTTCTCTCAATAGAATTTATTTGTCGTTTAATGTTTCTTTTTTCCCCTACAAATCTATTGTATGAAAAAAAAACGCCAGTAAAATTTTAACAAGTGTATTGCCAAAAACAAGGCACAGTAAATTTTCATAGAACAATGAGAAGAAGATGTAAGTGATCTGAAAGATGTGATGTATTTGTGCTGTACATTTCGAAAACAATCTGGTCATACATACACACACACTTGTTAAGGCATTTAACAAAAAGGTCAATTAAATAAAAGTTCAAATAGACATAAGGAGAGAGAAAATTAACGTAATGGGAAAAGAATAAGAAAGGATAGGAAAATTGTCACATTACCCTGGGCTTAAAGATTACCAGGGTATGCACACACACTTAAGGTGGGTTTTAATTGACGAATAGCCAAGGCTTCCATAAATCTCAAAATTCATCCTTCAACATTTCCATACAAGGTTTTGTTATCAATCTAATGCCCTGTGTTAATTACGTGTTTTGTGATCGATGAACATGGTTTCCTATTTCCACTTAGGTACATGTTCCATAACTTTTGATTGCAAAGTCCGATGACTCCTCTCTATGTATGTGCGTCCATTTTTATTTAGTTTTGAACAAAATCCTTCAGTGGTACATTTTCAAGTTTATTTATTTTGTAATACGGAGGATCAACTAGAAATCCTAACCTGATGATTGGTAAATAAACGAATTCTAATTATATTGTCTTACATTCAGTTGTTTCTTTTATTTTAGTGACATCTCATTTTTATAATCATTTTGTCAAGTTTGAATTTGAACTCAATCAGTCAGTCGATTACAACGTACATACATCAGTTCAGGTTGCCATAACACATTAGCACAGAGACACCGCTGATAGTTCAAATCCCATAGTGGAGCAGATAGTAGGAGAGTTACTGGTAATGAAGAATATTGGGGATCGAAGATATTTTTTAAGAAGTATATTTCAGTGAGATCACTTTAGAAAGAGACAAATAAAGATGAAGAATCTTGAAGATTAGAATTTAAGCGAACACAAAGAGTGGATGCACTTGCGCCATCGCAAATGTCATTTAAGTTCTCTAACAATTGGTGACTTTCACCTCGCGGACCCCAACCAGGTAGTCTGCACCTACCAAAAGACTCAGTCCACTTGTTAATGACTTCATGGATTTGTGCTATGTTTTGGTTCGGTCGCCCCTAGCTTTCTTCCAACCTACTCGCCTACACCACAAAACATAGCTTGTCAAGGCTAACTAACCTCAGCTCATATTACGTGATACAATACAGATTTTCAGTTATCATAAAACATTAATTAGTATTTATATTATATTTAAACCTACTAACTTTACGCGGGTCTTTATTACATTTTTCTCAATTAAACAATCATTTAATATGAACAAAATAATCATAAATGAGCAAAAGGCCTAATAATGAAGATTTCTTTTCCCCTTTTTAAGTGTCTGTCATATGCATACCGTTTTCGTCGGTATGACAAGTTGACACAAACCTTACAATCCACATTCAATCATTCACTAATCCGGTTAGATCTATTTTTCAAATGAAAATCAAAGTTTACTTTCACTATTCAATGATTCAAGGTGTGTCATAAAGTGTGTGTGTTTGTATGTGTGTGTGTCAAGATTGAACACAATACAACGCTTTTCAAAACACAGTTATTTGCTTATTTTGTCTAACAATACAATGTACTTCAAAAAAAATAAAAAATAAAAAAAGAAGTTTCTCTTACCTAAATACCTTAAAAATAAAAAGACAAAACAAAACATACTACTAGTCTAAGTAGACAAACATGTAAATATTTATTTATTTCTTCAAATCTATTCACGTCAATATTGTGACTAAATATTAAGAAAAAGAGCAATCGATGCAGACCATTTTTCTCCACACACACACACAGAAAAAACAAGTTAACAAACAAACAATCTTCTAGTTAGTTACCAGCATTGGAAAGCAGAAAAACAAAACAAAACAGTATTTTGACATTTCTGTCTTATTTTTAACTTTCATTGCTGCTATTATTAGTAAGTGACTACTACTACTACTACTACTACTACTACTACTACTACTACTACTACTAC